TTGAAATCAAGAGTCTTGTCAAGCCCTTGAGTGTTTGAGTTTTTGAGTTTTGTGTATGTTGGTAAATTACACTTATACTCGAGCGGCTCGTAGAACACTCTCAAGAGCTCGACTTGTGGCTGGTCAAACTTTGAGTTATTTTGTTTTTTTTTTTTCACTCTTTCTAGTCATTTACTGTTTATGAAAAATACAGGAAATTTCGCTCGCTCGGCTCTCCGTTATGCTGCTGCACAACGTACACGGGCTCCTCCTAAAAAAGGTGCTTATCGTTTTCATTTATAGATTATTGTGCCAATATATGAGCTGCTTGTAAAGCTGAATTCTCTCTTGCTTTTGTGCTTATGTTTTTTCCCAATCTCTTGAAAGCATCGTTAGCCATAAGCGTTTTTCTTGATTCGTAATGTTTCTTACATAATACATTTTCATGTTTTTTTATCGTCCTAAGCTCCTATAAACATTCCGTTTTTATTATCACTTTCAGAAGTGAAGAATGTTCCTTCTCAAGCCAATGAAAATAAGCTGCCCCATCCCTTGGAGTTTTTACTTGTGGGTATGTGAAAGCTAACTTAAAACATTAAAAAGACACGTGATCGATCATTTATATAACCTCGTGTAGTAGTTCAAACTGAAAAGAGTTTTGTTTGCTAACGATGTGTCTTTGTTTTTTTTTTTTCCCCTAGTTGCTACATTTGACTTTGTGGATTTTCTTGCAAGAAAATACAGCGGGGCTTGAGGATGTAAGTACACAACTCTTTTGTGTGTGTATGTGTGTGTGTGTGTGTGTTTGTTTGTGTCTTTTGTGTGAAAGGGTCAACTGGGACTCCATTTTGTGTTGTGCTTTTAAGTACTATTGCTTGTGAATTGTGATTTTTATATTAATTGGATCAAAACACACCCATTTTCTGTTAGTCACTTGTTTGTGTATGTGTGTTATCCAGCAATAAAAGATTGGTATTTAGGCCAGTCTCATTGTTAGGCCAACCATTTATTTCTCATGAAAAATGCATATTTATATTGTGAAATATCATACTTTTGTTTATATTATAAAATTTAAAGTATAAAATTTTAGAACACACAGATATGCATATTCGTTGACTAACAGAAGACCTATTGCCCGATAAAGATGTTGTCTTCACCGGTAGATCGAATCTGCAACTACTCATACTAACCAGTTTGGAAATTGTTGTATTTTTTTTTTTTAATTTCATGGAGCGACATCAGCAAATGCGAGTTCTATATGGATAGCTTGGGAAATTCAGACTCAGACTCCGAAGTTATGTTAATGATCATTAACTAGAGTTCAAGTCCATTGATTTTGGTTATAAATATCATTAGGGACTCTCTTACTGAATGATATTCTGTTGTTTTTGAGCCTACAGTAAAATACAATATCCGTGACGAATGGTATCCGTGTCATT